TCCTCCTCCTCCTCCTCCTCCTCCTCCTCCTCCTCCTCCCGTTATGGCCGCGAATAGACAGAACGCTCCTCCTGGCTCGAGTGCTCTGAGCCCTGGCGCGCCCCGCGGTCGAGCTCCGCCCGCGAGCGCTCGGCCGCGATGAGCGGCGAAGGGCTGCGCCCAGTGGCCACCCTCGCCCTGGGCGCGGCCGCGGCCGTCGCGGTTGGCGTCCTGCTGAGGCTCGGGACCCGCGCGAACCACGACGGCGGCGACGACGACGACGATGACGACGGCGGTGACGACGCCGACAACGGGGACGACGACGACGCCAGCGACGACGACGACGGCGACGACGACGATGACGACGACGGCGACGACGGCGACGACGACGACGGCCACGACGACGTCGTCGACGACGACGTCGACGTTGCGGCCTCGCCTTCTGCCAGGGATCGGCCCAGACGTCGTCTAGTCGCGCAAGAGTAGCAGCGATGGCTCCAGAGGCCACGACGACGGTGACGACGACGACGGTGACGACGACGACGTTGCGGCCTCGCCTTCTGCCAGGAATCGGCCAAGACGTCGTCTCGTCGCGCAAGAGTAGCAGCGATGGCTCCAGAGGCCACGACGACAGTGACGACGACGACGGCGACGACAACGGCGACGACGGCGACGGCGACGACGACGCCGACTACGGCGACGATGGCGCCGACGAGGACGACGACGACCGCGACGACGACGACGACGACGACGACGACGACGGTGACGACGACGACGCCGGTGACGACGACGACGGCGACGGCGGCGGCGACGAAGGTGACGACGACGACGGTGACGGCGACGACGATGGCGACGACGACGACGATGACGACGGCGACGACGACGGCGACGACGACGGCGACGCCGACGGCGACGACTTTGACTTTGGCCACGACCACAAGGATGAAGACGCCGGCGACGATGGCGACGACGACGACGACGACGGCGACGACGACGACAATGACGACGACGACGGCGACGACGACGACAACGACGACGGTGACGATGACGGCGGCGAGGACGGCGACGACGGCGACGACGACGAGGACGACGACGACGACGGCGACAACGACGACGACGACAACGACGACGACGATGACGATCAAGACGATTGTGACGCTTGCGACGACGACGACAATGACGACGATTATGACTCTGGCGACGACGACGTCGACGACGACGGCGACGGCGACGGCGACGACGATGACGGCAACGCTGGCGACGACGACGGTGACGACGACGATGGCGATGACGACGACAACGGCGACGGCGGCCACGACGACAACAATGACGACGACGACGGCGACGACGACGACGTCCACGACGACGACGACGACGGCGGCCACGACGACGACGACAATGCGACGACGACGGTGACGACGACGACGACGACGACGGCGACGACGACGACGACGACGGCGACGACGACGACGACGATCACGGTGTCGACGACGTCGGCGACGACGGCGACGACGACGACGACGGTGTCGACGATAATGACGGCGACGACGACGACGACGACGACGACGGTGACGACGACGACGACGACGGTGACCTCGACGACGACTACGACGATGGTGACGAGGATGACGACGACGCTGGCGACAACGACGACGACGACGGTGACGACGCCGGCGACGACGACGACGAACGCGACGACCACAACGACGACGACGGCTCCACCGACGACGACGACGACGACGACCGCGACGACGACGACGACCTTGACGGCGACGACGACGACGGCGACGACGACGACGGCAACGACGATGGCGACGACGACGTCGGCGGCGACGACGACGGCGACGACAACGACGACGACGCCGGCTACGACGACGGCGACGACGACGGCGACGACGTCGACGGACGACGACGGCGACGGCGGCGACGACGAGGACGATTGCGACGACGACGACGATCACGACGGCACGGCGACGACGGCGATGGCGACAACGACTGCGACGACGACGACGACGGCGACGACGACGTGACGACGACGACGACGACGGCGTCGACGACGACGACGGCGACGACGACGGCGACGACGACGACGCCGGCGACGACGACGACGACGATGACGGCGACGACGGCGACGCTGGCGTCGACGACGACGACAAAGGCGACGACGACGACGACGGCGACGGCGACGGCGACGACGACGGCGGTGACGACGACGAACGACGCGACGACGGCGGCGACGGCGACGACGACGACGACGACGATGGCGGCTGCGACGTCGACGACGACGACGGCGACGACGACGACGACGACAACGGCGACGACGACGACCTTGACGACGACGAGGCCGACGACGACGACGATGACGAAGACGACGTCGACGACGACGACGACGCGGGCCTCGCCTTCTGCGGGGTAGGGGCCCACACGTCTTTTCGTCGCGCAAGAATAGTAGCGACGGCTCCGGGGCCGCGACGACGGTGACGACGACGACGGCGACGTCGACGACGACGACTTCGACGACGACGACGATGACGACGACGGTGACGACGACGTCGACGACGACGACCACGACGACGACGGCGACGCCGACGACGACGCTGGTGTCGACGACGACGACGACGTTGACGGCGCCGACGACGGCGACGACGACGACCACGACGACGGCGACGACGGTGGCGACGACGACGACGACGGGGACGGCAACGACGACGGCGCCGACGACGATGTCGACGACGCCGGCGACGACGACGACGACCTTGACGACGACGAGGACGACGCCGACGACGACGACGGCGGCGACGACGACGTCGACGGCGACGACGATGACGCCGACGACGCCGACGACGTCGACGGCGACGACGACGACGACGACGGTGACGACGACGACGACGATGGCGACGACGACCACGACGGCGACGACGGCGGCGACGATGACGACGATGACGATGGCGACTGCGACGGCGACGACGACGACGAGGGCGGCGACGACGACCACGACGACGACGACGATCACGACGCTGGTGTCGACGACGACGACGACGACGTTGACGGCGCCGACGACGGCGACGACGACGACCACGACGACGGCGACGACGGTTGCGACGACGACGACGACGGGGACGGCAACGACGACGGCGCCGACGACGATGTCGACGACGCCGGCGACGACGACGACGACCTTGACGACGACGAGGACGACGCCGACGACGACGACGGCGACGACGACGACGGCGACGACGATGACGCCGACGACGCCGACGACGTCGACGGCGACGACGACGACGACGACGACGGTGACGACGACGACGACGATGGCGACGACGACCACGACGGCGACGACGGCGGCGACGATGACGACGATGACGATGGCGACGACGACGACAACGACGACGACGACGGTGACGTCGACGACACCGACGCCGGCCACGAAGACGATGGCGACGACGACGACGTCGACGACGACGATGCCGGCGACGACGACGAGGACGACGACGCCGACGGCGACGGCGATGGCGATTGCGACGGCGATGACGACGACGACGACGAGCACGACGACGACGTCGACGACGACGGCGACGACGCCGACGACGATGTTGACGACGCTGCTTCGCCTTCTGCCGGGGAGGGGCCCAGACGTCGTCTCGTCGCGCAAGAAAGCAGCGATGGCTCTGTGGTCCTCGAACAAGCGGCCCCAGGTGAGAAGCCTGTCCCGTGGAAGGGGTCTATGGAGCTCTGGGGGCCCGAGGGGGAACGGATGCGGATGGCGCTGCTCGTCCCTGGAGGATTCCCATCACGACGGCCAGACTGCCCTCGGAGTTCTGGTCAGGATTCGCCCCTGGAGAGGTCCGGGAGAAGTCGCTGCATTAGGCCAACCTGACGCGCTGGCGCGCTGGTCTGCGCACGAGGCCAAGCTAAAAGACCCCAGAAGCAAGGGGGCGGCTGTCAAGGACCACGGGGGACGTGTCGGCCGAGTGCCCCCGTCACTTGGGAGCCGCGACCTGTTTGTTGCTTTGCATCCTCCAGCGACGCACAGAGCTCAGGAGGGAGCAAAAACACACATACACAATGAATCGTCGATTCCTCAGAAAATATGGGAAAATATGGGAAGTGGGGGGGAGACAAAAGACCCAGAAAACATATAGGAACATATGGGGAATCCTGTTAGTTGTGTCTATTGATTTGTGCGTCCTAGGGCCCCTTCAAGAGCACAGCGCAGGCAGAAGTTGGCACCTCCCCCCCCCAAGGTGGGGCGGTCTCCTCCTGCCTGCAAGGGGGGGGCACCTGGCGCGCTCCAGGAATGGGCCTTGCCTTACGTGGGGCCCGTCCCTCTACAGGGGGAATATTCATCAAAAGTAGTCAAAAAACAGTCATGAGAGTATGTTTTAAGCATTTTTTTGCATCTTTAGCATCTTTTCCGAGTATTCTTGATTTTTCGTCTAAAAGCCCCCTGTAGGGGGGCAGGCCCGACCTAAGCCTTGCCCTGGCTCGTCCATGCCCCCGGGGAGGCTGGCGGAAGTCAGACGGCACCCGGCCCGCTGGGGGACGCCCGGAGGAGGCTCGGCGGGAGGCGAGGCAGAGTCGTGTCGGCGCAGAGCCAGCGTTTTTGCAAAGCGCGTCTCCAGCTCGGGCCTCCTGGGGGCCCCTGCCCCGGCCCCAGGACCTTGCGACACCGACGTACAGTCGGGGCGTTGACCTAAGGAACCCTAAATAAGGAAGGAGGCCCCTTCTTTTCCATAAGTTAAACTTCGATTTCCTATCCGAAACAAAAGGAAAACCTGAGGCAAGCTGTGAAACACTTAAGGAACGCGGAGCCCCTCCCCAACGAAAAGGGTTCCTTCTTCAGGGCCCCGACTGTAGGTCGGGGGCGGCAAAGAGGGAGGTGATGACTCGGGGGGGGGGAGATATCATGGCGGGGGCCATGGTATTTCTCAGATTTCATGGCGCCTCCTCTCATTTCATTACGTCCCTGGCCCCCCCGCTGGGCCGCGCACGTGCCGCCGGTCATGATTTGCACCCCCCCCCTCTTGGACACCCCCCTCTTGGCCGCTCCCGAGTAGGATGGGAAACCGATCCCGAGGAAGGAGCGAGCCCTCCGGGGGTCACGCTTCGAAGAAAGCGCGACGTCGGGGGGTCCATGAATACGTTGGGATGCACATGGGGGCCGGCTGGATCTGGTGCCCTGGCCGGGGCCCAACACCCTCGTGTTCCCCGTGCTCACTGCTCCCAACTTGGCCGACGT